GACAATATCAGTGGAGACTGAATTTCTGAAATAGGCTTAAGATATATTTATGTGCAACTATAAAATTGTGAATCTTTGCAAAATTTTGTGAAAAAAAATATATATCTGTATTTTGCTCAAAGGAAGAAGTCTTATTCTCTCAAAATATTTTAGTTGTATGCCCTATCTTCATTGTTATTAAAAACCTATCTTCATTGTTATTAAAAGAGACACTGAAAGACTTTTTAAACATTAAGCTCTTTTTCAACAATATAGTCTACATTTCCTGTGACAAATTCTTACAATTTGACAATGAATAACATTTTTGCATGAATATCAATATACTACAATTTCTTAACAGATGTACTGTACTTAATACATAAGTGAAGTAATATCTAGAGTAAAACACTTTTCCCCACTAAGTTACATTAAAATAACTGAGGTACTGTATGTCCATTTCTAAACGTTGGTAACACCAGGCTGACAACTGCCATCAAACCTCTAAATTTCATTAGGCTATCGTAATGAAGGTTCCCCTGAAGAACACATAAGTTAGTTATACTAGTTAAAGGAACTTTGCTGAGAGATCCATTTCACAGCTAAGTAATCTGAACTGAAGGGGGAAGAGGGAGAATCTACTTAGCTAAATTCACTGTCTAGGTGACCCTCTATAAGTTCTATACTTACATGATTTAAAGGTCTGTTGTCTTTTTCTCCTCTTCCCTACTCCCCAGCCACTCCTTATCTAATTTAAAAGTTCCCCAAGTCCTTCTTAGGTAATGACTTTACTATAGCGTGTTTTATACTATAAATTTTAAAGATGTAAAGTCTCCCAACCTCTGGGGGGATCATTTATAGAATCAAATACCAGCAAAACAAAAAGAATCACAAACTACTTTAAAAGCTTGTATTTTCCTATACTAAATAATCATATAATAGGGTTCAGCTAAATATGAATTGTAACTGAATCTTCTAAATTCTATTAAGAATCGAGAGAAAAACCTGTCATTTTCTGACCAGAGTTTAGCCTTGACATGTCTCCATTATTTCAAATTATAATTCTCCTATTACTATCCCCCAAAATTATTTTTATCAACATGTCGATAAAATTTTAAGTAATCCTTATCCCATCCAATTAAGATACTCATTTTAAAAGTTAATTTCAGATTATATGCTTTTAATACATATAGAAACTCTTAGCAGTAGTCACTGTACTCACTGGGATATCAGCCCATTTCTTTCACATACACAACCAATGATAATTATGCTCAGAAAATTATCTAGGTTTCTTGATTATGAAGAAATCTGCAAAAATATACGTGTGGAATTTAGAAAGGAAAAAAAAATTTTTTTTAAATTGCCCTTCAGTACAAGCAACAAATTCTCTATATAAAAACCAAGAACCAGACACCTGAATATTTTACAAAAACAAAGTACTAACGGAAACCTCCTTTTTTTTTACATAAAGCTTTTATAGATTAGTTTTCCCTAGGACAATGGAAAAAGTACTGGATTCTGAAAAGTAAAACTTAGGTTGGAAGCCAAGCTCTGCCACTTACACTCTGTGTGACCTCAGGCAAGCACTTCACCTTTCTGGACCTCAAGACTTTCATCTGTAAAATGAAGGGGTTTAGACTAACCTCTGAAGTCTCCTCTAGCTCTACAGCTATGATCCATTTCTAAAATCACGGGACACTTAAAAGGAAATAATGCACAGAATCTCAGAATCACAAAGCTCATCAGTGTTGAGACGGACTTTGGAAGCCATAGAGTCTTATACATCTAAAGCATCCCTGACAAGTGAACCTCCAGCCCCTACTTATAGACTTCCAGTGTCCAGTGATAGGGAACCCTCTACCTTCTGCCCAATCTACTTCTGAATAGTTGTAATTATTAGAAAGTTTGTCCTTCACTTGAACTGAAATCTGCCTTTCTACAACTTCCACTGCAAATCAACCCTCTGAAACTAAGCACAACACAGTACCACTTCTACATGTACTTCAGACACCTAAAGGTGGCAATCATATCCCCCTCTCACTCCCCTTCCCAAGTCTTTTCTTCTTCAAGCTAAACATTTCATGGTCATTCAATCTATCCTCCCATGGCAATGATCAGTTTCCACCTACCTCTTCTAGGTATACTCTGATATATCAAAGTTCTGCCTAAGCCCAGAACTAAACATGACCACTAAATACATAAATGTCTAATACCTTAAAAAAAAACATTATTCAAAGCAAACACATCTTATCCAGCTACTATATTTCCATTTTTACTCTTACTTTCTAAATATTTCACTTATTCTAATGATCTCTATCCATAAGCACTACAAAAATATAGCAATTAGAATAAACAGCATGAGGATTTCAGCTCACTCGTCCAGCAATCTAATATTCTAAAGTCTCAAATTCATTACCTAATTTCAAAGGACTTCACATTCCCTAAAACATTTACAGTTACTTTAAGACCTCAGAGTTTCTATACAGTAGAGGGGCATAAGAAGATACACATGAATGTGTCAGGCAGCAGTATTGTGTCCACAGGTACAAAACAGCGTAGAAATCCTTTATTTCTAGATTTTCTTCCCTAAAGTTTTTTTAAATGTAACCACCACAGAGGGAAGTTCTTATCCCTTCCACTCCCAACTTTGTGACGATGTAAGAAATTTGATGCTGCAAAATCCACAACAAAATACATGATAATACCAAAAAGAAAAACAGAACTAAAACCATTTAGAATGATTCTGATTCATAGAGCAGTTGTTTAAAAATATCTCCAGTCATTAAAAACTTAGAATTAAAATTTTCTGGAGTACTAAGTTTTAATCCATTTAATCTTTACCATCTGCTAGTTCTCCAGCAACCAAATGAAAGGCACTTCAAATACAGAACCTATACATTCTCCTCCTTTAGGTTCCCCTAAGATTTATCAAATTCTTTCACATTTTTCAAACGTAACTAAATACAACTGTGGGAAATATATGTATAAGAAAATGTGTGTGTGTGTGTGTGTGTGTGTGTTTCCAGACTTTATCCATGTGGAAAACTTTCAGTGAGGAACTTCTTCTCCATCGTATAAAGTCTCAGAGTGTTGCTTGTGTCACTGAAAAGCTAAGCAATTTGCCCAGGATCACACAGACAGTATATCAGAGGTGTAACTTGAACCCAGGTCTTGCTGACTCTGAGGCCAGCTCACTACTACCTCAAATTACTTCTTTTGTATGTATCTTTAAAGTTAGATATCCATATCTACAGTAAAAACAGCCCTTCACCACAATGTCTATACTCTTCAGCAGCTCATTTTATCCACATTGTTCCACAGAGTAGAATTTACTTCTACATCACATAATCCTAGAATACAAAACAGGATCACATAGGCCAACTGGTTCAGTGCCCTGACCTTGCTCCAGTAACTGAAAGCAGTCCCAAATGCTGTTCATCAGTAAAAGGAAATAATATAAAATAAAACTTATTGGTTACTTCTGTTTTTCTAGGTAAAAAACACAATTAAGCTCTAAATTGTATTTTTAAAAGGTATGCTATTTTTTAAAAGGCCTATCTTAAGACTTCATAAGCCTTAAATGGAGCCTGAATTAAACAAATGATCTAGAATTTTTATATATTAGTACTATGAATCAGAACTGTAATAATGTTACAAGAGAAATGTTAGAAATGCAATTAAGCTATAACTGTAAAAACTCTTCAAGGATACTTTTCATTAAGGGAGGAAGGGTAGGAGAAGGAAAGGGAATAAACACTTATATAGTGCCCCAGAACAGTACTAAGAGTTTTACAAATATTATCTCATTTGATCCTTATAACAATCCTGCAAGGTAACTGCTTTACTTTCCTATTTAACAGTTGAAGAAACTAAGGGGAAAAGAGGTAAGGTGACTTAACCAGGGTAACACAGCTAGTAAGTGCCTGAGGCTACATTTGAATTCAGACCTTCCCAACTCTAGGGCCTAGCATTGTATCCACTACACCACCTAGCTGCTTCATTAAGCACCAAGACTACTCAAATACAACCACAACAATGTATATATCATTATAATACCATGTCCAGATACAGTTAACTAGAAAATTCTGAACAACAAATCCTAAATTTACTTTATATTTAATTAATAATCATCACTACATGAACTCTATAATTAAACTACCAATTCAATTCACAATGTCTAGCCTTTGAGGGAAGACATTTCATTTTCAGGAAGAAATATCTCCTTTGAGTTATCTGACTGACTGACAAATTATAAAAAATTATCCACATCATTTTGTCCTCTTTCCAAAGATCATATGAAATAAAAACTAAGATGTATTGGCAGACAAACATTTAAGGGGAATAAGCTTCCCTGCCACCAAATCAGGAATTACTTGCCTTGGCCAATGTAGGTTGCAATGCAATAGTAATCAAACAAAATAAAGCCTTAGGAAAGGAACCTTCATAATTATGCAGCTTCTCAAAGGTGGATTAGAGGCTTCTTAACCAAAAATCTAAGCTGTGATATTTAGTAATATTATCACAATTAAAAATTTTGGATTAATCAAGCTTTTTATGATTCAAATGCCATTAAAAAATAAAAACAAATATTTCTCTGATTATCTTTTGTAATAAACTTAAATGGTTTCAATTTCAACCATTTCAAAATATTTAATTTTCTCATAAATGCAGAATTTATAACATACATCTATTTGTTGAAAAATTAAAGCAAAGTCTTTTAAATGTTGAAACCACGTATAAGTCATAGTTTGTCAACATTAATCACTTATATTAACTTTTTCAAAGTAGAACCAAGTGTTCATTATAATCACATAAAGGAATATAAGCAGTTAATATAAGTTAAATAAAAGCAGCTTTACCCTACTAGAAATTTATTTTAAATGTAATAATAAAGACTATTCAACATGGTTTTCTTTCTTAATCATTTCCAAACTTACTTTTCAATACTTTATTTTTGTTAGATCTATGTCCTTCTCAAGAACACTTTTTAAATAGTTTCAAGTCTATATGGATACAATACTTACATCATACTTTGCAGTTCAAGAGCAAAACTCATAGATTTCCCTGTGGCTCTTCCACTACTTGAGGTAGCAATAGCTGACATCGGGCTAGGTGTAGTATTATTCATCTGTATAAACAAAAAGAAATAAAAAAAGCTTGCAAAAAATGTTTGAATTACAAATGAAAGCATATGAGGAACAGCAGCAGTTATAAAACATTTAATAAAATATAAATTGTTTTAAATATCCTACAAAAATCCTCTTTCTTGCTCATCAACACAAGAAAACTAGTATGTCCTATTTTATATAACAAATGATTAGAACTACACATCAGTTATTCAAGAAAGTAAGTATCCCTTAAGGATTTGATACAAAATTCATTTCGGTAAGGAATGCAACTCTGTAAGACTAAGTTGTAGAACAGTTGCTTGCTACCAGTATTGGTAAAGAAAGCTTATTATCACATCAGATGCCAAATCTTGTTGCTTCTGCCTTTACAACATCTCTTCTTTATACTTTATCTACTCACACATCCACAACTCTAGTTAAAGATCCATCACCTCCCACCTGGAATTTTGTAATAACCTTTTAATTAGTCTCTCTGCATCAAATCTTTTCCATTCCAATCCATCCTCCACTCAGCTGACAAAATGCTTTTCATAATGTCTAGAAATGACCATGCCACTGCCCCCTTACTCTGATTCTGCTGGCTCCCTATTTCCTGCAGGATCAAATATAGTCCTTTGGCATTTAAAGCTCTTTGAAATCTAACTCTGAAAAAAAAAAAGAAATAAATCTAACTCTGGTCCCTCATCCAAATTCGTCTACTTGCTGTTCCTCACACAACTACTCCATCTCCCCGCTCTGTGATTCTGAATTAGCCTGAAGAATTCTCCATCCTTACCTATCTGCCTCTTAGAATCCCCAGTTTCCCTTAAGATTCACTTTCTTCAGGAGGCCTTGACTTGTTTTCTTCTTCCCTCACCTCCACCAAGATGCTAGAGTGTTAAAGCCTTAAGGCAGGAGTTCTTAACCTAGGATCCATTAACTTGTTTTGATTGTTTGAGTTTTTTAAAATATTTTCAGAACCATATTTGCATTTTAAAACATTATTCTAAGAATAATAGTATTTATGTGATGCTTTAAGGTTTATAAAGCACTTCACAAATATTATCTCACTTTATCCTCACAACAACCCAACCAACAAGAGGTATATGCTATTATCTCCATTTAACAGAGGAAGAAACTGAGGCACAGAGAAATTAAGTGACTTGCCCAGAGTTACACAGCTAGTAAGTATCTAAGGTCTGATAAGAACAAATATACAAAATAAATACTGGGTAATCATTTGGGTATATCAATTATGGAGAGTTTTGAAAGAAACTAGGGATTCTAACAGGTAGAGTTCAGGTGAGAATGTATTCTAGGCATAGGAGACAGTGCAATAACATGGGAGCATGGAGGTGGGAGATGGTACATTATGTGTGGAAAACAGCCAAAAAAAAAAAAAAGGCCAGTTTGGCCAGAGTATAAAGTGCAGGAAGGGTAAGAAGACAGGCTGGGGCCAGGTTGTAAAGCAGCTTTAAAAGTTAAACAGGAAGCTTATATTTGATCCTAAAAGCAATGGGGAACCATTGGAGTTTATTGGGTAAGGAAGTGAAAAGGTTATTATCTCCACTATAGGAAAATCATTTGATAGCTGTGTGGCAGATGGATTGGAGAGGGCAAAGACTTGAATTAGAGAGATTAATCAAGAGGTTATTGCAACAGTCAAAGCAAGAGGTAATGAAATAGTGAGCATGTGAGCAGTGAAAAAGGGAGGGATGTAAGAGATATTGTGGAGGCAGAAATGATACAATTTAGAAATGTACTAGATATGTGGGGGTGAGAGTGAGATGTCTAGGATAATTCTAATACTGCGTACCTAAGCGAATGGAAAAATCCACATGTCCTACACAGAATTAAGTTCAAAAGTTGGAAGGAGGGGATTGAGAGAAAGATGAGTTTTCTGATACATTGAGTTCAAATGTTTAAGAGACATCTAGTTTGGAATATCCATTTGACAGCTAGCTGATGATGAGCAACTGAAGCTCAGGATAGAGAGTAAGGCTGGACATAAAGATTAAAGAATCATCTACAAAGAGATTATTATTATTATTAAACCCATGGCAGCTTATAAGGTCACTAAATGTGTGTATGTTTTTAAGGTACAAGAAGACTGGGGGGGGGGCGGGAGGAGAGAAGGAGAAGAGAGAGGAGGAAGCTTTATTAAGAATTCTAAATGCCAAGCAGAAGGCTAGTTTATTGAGTGTGGAAATCACATGATCAGACCTGTGCTCTAGGAAAATCATTTTGGTGGCTAAATAGTGGATGGACTGTAGTGAGGAGAGACTTGTGGAAGGCAGACTAACCACTAGCTTCCTGCAATAGTTCAAGTATGAGGTGATGAGGGCCTATACCAAAATGGAGGCAGTATCAGACAGAATGGGGACTATTTGAGAGATGTTGTAAATTTGAAATTGACAGACTTTGGCCTCAGATTGGATATGGGGAAAGGAGCATCTAAGTTTTGAGCCTGGAGAACTGGGAGGTGCCCTCAACAGTAATAGGGAAGTTTGGAAGAGGAAGGAGGTTTTAGGGGGAAAAATAATGAATTCCATTTGGGACACACTGAATTCAAGATGTCTACTAGACATCCAGTTCAAATTGTCTGAAAGGCACTTGGAGATATGAAAATGGAGATCAGCCCAGAGGATAAGACTAGATAGCTAAATTTTAGAATCATTAGGATAGAATCCATGGGAGCTGAAGAGATCACAAAGTAGTTCAGAGGGAGAAGAGGGCCCAGGACAGAACCCTGTGGGACACTCAGGGTTAGTGAGCATGACCTGGATAAGGATCCAGAAAAGGAAAGAGAAGTCTCATAGACCAAAAGAAAATGGTGTCCTAAAAACCTAGAGAGAAGAGAGTATCAAAGAAAAAAAGATGACTGACAGTGTCAAAGACTGCAGAGCAGTCAAGAAGAATAAGGACTGAGAAAGGGACATTAAATTTGGCAACTAGGAGATCATTGGTAACTTTTGGTGAGAGTAGTTTCAGTGGAATGATAATGTCTGAAGTTGGATTGCAGGAGGTTAAAAAGAGAGTGCGAGGACAAGTGGAAGTACCTGTTTTAGTTGGGCATTGAGCCACAATGGGCTGAAGAGATATAGTATGATAGTTAACAAGGAAGGATGGAAGTGAGGGTTTTTTGAGGATGGAGGTGACATTGGCCTGTTTCTAAGCAGTTGGGAATGGAGAGATTGAAGATAATGGAGAGACCAGGACAACAGAGGGAGCAATGTGTTGGAGAAGACAGGATGGAACAGGATCACTTGTGCATGTAGAACAGTTTGCCATAGCAAGGAAGAGAGCCACCTCTTCATGTGAGAAAGGGGTTAAGGAAGAGATAGCAGCAGAGGGCATCTGAGTGATGGGAGATGAAGAAGAGGAGAGAAAAGATCACTATCAGCAAACAGCCTCAATTTTTTTCAGTAAAATATGAGCAAGGAGCTCAGCTGAGATTGGGAGAAGGGGAGCCATGGGAGGCTTGAGGAGGGATGAAAAGGCAAGCAACTGACTGGCTCAGACTGGTGCAACCTCTATATGTCCCATATTGCTCCCTCCCATTTTTTTATTTGAGGGCATGGTTTGTGCTACTCCATCTATAAATACAATGCTAGTAATGGCTCTGGCATCTATCTCTCCTTACTTTACCATCAAATTTTTCCCAAGAACAGCCCATTCTATTTCTCCCACCATCTCACCATCCACTTACTCTTTAACCCCTTGTACTCTCGCTACCATCCCTACTATTCTACCGAAACTTCTTCCTGAAAGATTAGCCACCTCTATACTATCAAATCCAATTCTCTAATCGCAGTCCTTTTACTGATCTCCCTCCAGCATTCCATATGTGCTCCCCACTTCACACAACCTCCTAATCAAAATGTTTTCCTCCTTTGGCTTCCAAAGCACAGCACTCTTCTGGTTTCTTAGTCTAGTGCATCTCCTCCTTTGAATCTTCTTTTTCATACCCCAATCCCAAGCAGACTTCATCATTGATCTGACCTCGAGATTTCTTGCCACCCACACTCTCTCCCTTAGGAATTTCATCTATGGCTTCAGCTATTTTGCTCTTGATCCCTGAACTCTCCATTTCCATCAGTTTGTTGGATATCTCATGTGGATGTTCCACTGGCACCTAATATTAAGCCCAATGTGTGACTTTCCCAAAGAACTTCCCTGCTCCTAATTCTTATTTTCATTCATACCAACATACTCCCTGTAATCTAGGCTCAAAACTCTTTGTATAACAATGAACCTTCCCACTTCTCCAACTTCAAATCCCCAAGTACCATGAATTCTACCTCTACATCTCTGCCATTTGCCCCCCTCTCTATTCTTGTTGCCCATAGGGAGAATAATGTTGTCTTACCACAAACCACTGAAATCATCTCCTACTGCTATCTTTCCTTCCAGTCTCATCCCCCAATCCAATTCAATTCAACTCCCCATTCTCTTTCTAATCTTCAATCTCTCCCTCTTCTTACCTATCTACAAACATGCCCTCTCACAGCTGATGGTCCCCAAGGCTCTGTGTCCTGGGGCTACTTCTCTTTTTGTTCTATCCTGTCTCACTTGGTGATCTCATCAGCTCCCATAGGTTCAGCTATCATCTCTATGCCGATGATTCCAGATCTACTCATACAGCCCTAGTCTCTCTCCTGAGCTCCAATTTCATATCACCTTTTGGACACCTGGATATCGCATCTGCATCTTAAATTCAATATATCCAAAACAAAACTCATTTTCTTTTCCCCAAATCCTTTCCCTCTTCCCAACTTTCCCACTGCTTACTATAGAGGGCACAACCATCCTCCTAATCACACCCAGGCATATGGTTGTCATCTATGACAACCTCCATGTCATTCTCAGCTTCTCACTCACACATCCCACATAGCCAATCTGCTATCAATCTTGTCATTTCTTCACTCACAACATCTATTGCATGCATTCCCTTCTCTCCACTCAGACAGCCATAACCCTAGCTCAGGATCTCATCATTTCTAACCTGGACTATGGTTGG